CCGAGTGATTTCTTTAATCAGGGTATTAACAACCAGATTTTAAGATGGAAAATCATCATTGATAAGAATGGCGACTATTTCATTTAATAGATGTTTTGTTTTGATAAATAAGTTGTTCGGGTTTTTTCATCTAAAAAAAAAAAAGCGACATTAACTTCTTGATGACCTAATAATATGAAGCCTTATTTCTAACAAGAAACTTTAGAATACTGATGAGTGCACTAAATCTTGGAGTGTTTCTAGAAATAGATTATGTTCGGGACTGAGAAAGTATGAAGTTATATGCAAAAAAAACCAACAATTTCATCCTTTTCTGACAGTAGATGCAAGATCAAAACTGGGTCTCCAAGGACATCAACTGTGAGAAAGCCAAAAACTATACAAAAAAGTACCCACTCTGACTGTGTGTAACTAGCACACAAAATAATGGCTACTCTTCAAGTTGGATTTGATTTATTTGAAAGTTCACATGCACTCTAAAAGTGCATACATCTGATTTTTTTTAAATTCTAAGATAACCTTATATTTATCTTTCTAAATTACTAGAGGAATAAAACATGGTGATTTTTCAAGAATCACTGTGTCTTCAAGGAAGGAACAAGCAAAAAGGTCAAGCAGAACAGCTTTCTTGGGCTAGTATCATTGATATAGTGAAGAAAATTATGAGAGTGGTATTGTATCTTTTTTGTTGTTGTCATTGGAAAATTTAATATTTTTTAATGCTGCCAAAGATAAGTAATACAAGATATCCCCATGAAGATCACACTTTACAATATTTTACAATGTAAGCTAAATGTTGTAATTTGAGTTCATAATAACAATAAATGTTAATAATTATGCTAAAACTATCTAAACTTCATGTTGAATTTTGAATAATGAATTCTTTGTTGTATATTTTTAAAGTTTGTGAAAGATTTAGTATGTTTCACAGAATACAAACTAGATTAAGTGCAGAATATAACATACTCAAATGAATTGTTTTCCAAGAAACAGTTGAATAAATGAGTAGAAATAAGGCTTTTATGATGTAGAAATGACCTACTTAAATAAGACAGGACCACGAGAGTAATCGAGGACAAGGTAAAAAAGTTATGAGGTGTTGTATTAAAATAATGATCTTAGCAAGTTCATTTAACCATTGAAAACTGTAACAGAGCAATCTGCACAGTTTCATTATGTTTTGGAAACAATATCACATTGGTAAACATATAAAAGTAAAAGTTTATGTAAAACACATAATATAAAAGGTAACCAAATAATCCATAAATATGATTACTTACAAAAAGAAGAGTAACTGTTAAGAAACAAATAGGAGAGCCATCATACATGAAGCTTGTGCACACTAATGAAAGAATGTCATGAATAGTTGATAAAACAAGCTTATCTCCTTCAGAATCTATTAGAAGGTCTGGCATTAAAACACAAAAAAAATTAAAGAACTTTGCATTAAAAATATTACATATTGAAGAATCTCAGACAGAAGATGGTTTGGAAAAGTAAGCACAGTATTAGAATCATTTGGTTTTAGACCAAGGTGTAAGAACATGGGTTCTATATATAGACATTTTGTAATTTCTTGAGATGTTGAACTAAAAACATTCACAATACCAGTAGGCCATAAAAAGAAAAACCTCATACAAAATCTGTTGAATAATAAAGATCCTCACTGTGCATCTGCCTTAAAATATGGTAAACCAGAGAGCATATATAATGACAGGCAATAGTTGAAGAAATATGGTTCTTTCTTAATTGTTCAGATACATTACTATTGTAGAGTTATTATAGTGGAAAGATGTCAAAATAATGTTCAGTGATTAAAAATAAAGTTTTTTCAGAAATATATTGCTTCAGTCTCAGTACAACAATATGGATTCAAGATACTTCTTTACTCAAAACAGACCAAGATTTGTCTCACCACATCAAAGAAGCAAGTGTGAACAAAAAGTTTTAATATTGTACTAACAAGCAATTGAGATCTTGAAAATGTAATCACATAAGACCACTAACACGTCAAAAACACGTTAAAAAATTCAAAGAGAAATGATGAAACAGCCAAAATGGTAAAGATATTGTATACATGTGAACATTTCAGAATTAATCTAATAGCTTAGCATTTACAGCAGTTTCATTTTAATAAGAAATTCATTTATTTGATCAAAGTTTCAAAACTACGTGAAATATGAGATGAAGATAGTCTGTCATACTTATAAATCATATGAAAAGCTAGCTGTTTTGAAATATAGAAATTAGTTTTATTGGTTTATCAGCATAAAGGTTGTTTTCTTCAAATCTGAATAATGTGATAATTTTATATCAATATATAAAAAATAATTATTTTGTTCTGACTATAATGTACCCTAATAAGTTTCAATTTCATTACCTGATATTAACACAGACAAGACTTAATTTTCCACATAAATATATACACAAAAGTTTATTAAATTTTTACTCAAACATATTACTTACAACAAACTATTAAAAGAGAAAAAAATTACATCTATTTTTTGGTACCAGTGTAAGATTCAGTTCAACTCAAAATGTTATCATCATTTTGAGCAAGAAGCAAAAAAAAAGTTAAGAAGGGTAATCTTAATCCTATTTTGACCTAAGCATTCCAGCTTGCATGTTAAATTTCCATTAAAAATGGATTTTTTTTATGTTTATGGTAATTACGTTTTTTAACACCAGGGGTAGTTTTCTTTTATAAGGTTTTCAATTTAACAGTTTCAAGATGAAAAGCTTGTAAAAGAACAGTTTTTTAGGTAGAGCAATGTTTCTAAGACATTTTATCTACTCACTGTGTGGACTTTCACAAATCATCCACAAAAAGAAAGTTACATAAAAATACTACAACAAAAACTTTACTGGCTTGCATTAATGAAAACTAAAATTTTTGTTTTCAAACATATATACTGATATTTTTAGTAAGATGGCAGCTGGGAAACTTAAGACACACAGAAGATTGTTAAGATTAAGAATTGATATATGAAGTGGAATGCAGTTTTAAGATTTATTTCTTTGGAGTTACATAAACTTAAAATATACATACAATAATTAGAGAAACTTGATTCAACTGTGGTTCCTAACATAATAAAATGGTGGCTAGAAAGAATATTGAAAATTTTACTCCTAGAATTCATTCTGTTGCCAAATGTTATGATATACTGAGAAATAAAATTATTTCTTAAGAAAAAAAACTTGTTTTTTGTTCTTATTTTATTTACTTAGTATAATAAAGTTACTTTTATAGCAAAATGGAAGGGTCATCCTTTATTTTTGCCTAACTTTATTTTGGCAACAGTGCATGAGCCCAAGTTCATTTTCAAATAATATAACTATGTTATCACTAAGGCCTTAGATAATTAATGATAGATTTTTTTTGTAGCTGTAAATTCTGACAATTATCAAAGTAAAACAAAATAACATTTAATCAGTAATTTATAAATTCATGAATACCTATTACATTATTTATTCAAATAATGGCACTGCATGAAGAAGTGCTAATGACCATGAAAAATTACATACTTAAATGAAAACACCAAAACTGATTTTCAAAAAGCTTAAGTCCACCAAATCTGAACTATACATACTCAAATTCAAACTGATTTTGAGAGGAATTAATTGCTCCAAACCTGACCTTTGCATGTTCAAATTCAAACTGATTTTGAGATGAATTAATTGCACCTAACCTTAGCTGTACATGCTCAGATTCTAACCTATTTTGAGAATATTTAAATGCACCAAACCCGAGCTATACTGAGCAGTACATGCTCTCAAGATTTAAATGCACTAAACCTCAGCTATACATGCTCAAATTAGAAAAAATTCAAAGTGAGACACAAATAGTATCTTTCCAGGTATAGCTATTACAGAACTGATTGAAGTCTAGCATTAAAAGCAGATCATATAAAAATGACTAGGTATTGAAGGGACAAGATTTGCATTTCACCTCATTCAGTAGTTTTGTCTGTTAAAAGTAGTAATAATTACAAGCAAGATTCATTTTAATTCAATTATGTTTTTCAGAATTTCATACAAACTTAATAAAGATTTAATAACCACAAAATAAATTTCAGATCTTACTCTTACAAAAAAAATCATATATATATTTCTCGTAAATAAACTTTGTTGTATTATGTTAAAGCAACAATTATGTGGGTTTCTTTTACAGTATGATTAAACAGAAAATATATCCATAGCATTGTAGTTTTAAAAAAAACAAACAATTAGTTAATAATTTAAAAAATATATCCTTTTAATAGCCACATGATACTAAAAAACATTAAAAAACTGATCTTTATAATATGAAACCACAATGCCAGTAATTTTCTAAATGAGTGTATCATGTTACTGAGTTTAACAATTTTATCATATACACTCAACACCCATCCATATTTTACCTGTTCTATTTACATTACTTTAAAATATTTCCCCTGACACTTTCAAGTGAAAAACTAGGCTTAATAAAAAGAGAATTTCACAACATATTGGCTGCAAGCTGGATTATGAAATTTGTTTACGATTTAAAAAAAAATGAATTTTTCAAATATAGTCACTACTGCCAATAATAATGTTTTATATCCACATATTATGTTTATTAATTTAATTCTAATATTTAGAAGCACTGAAAATAATCAGTGTCTTATATATACATACATATTGTTAAGACTCAGATTATTTTCACAGCATAATGCAGATTATAGAAATTGTGATTAATTTTCCATGAAATTGCATAGTTAAGAGGAGTAATTATGAAATAGCAGCAATACCAGAATAATCAAAACTGTAATATCTATAATATTTATAGGATATAACAAATTTAATTCAACAACAAATTGAATAACAAGCTCTTCATAAAGTTCAAATTTATCTTTGTTTTGCACATCATGGGAATAAATGCCTTTTAATTAATATATTTGGAACAATGTATATTATACCCTAACACATGCAAGTCTTACATTTTATGTTGATTGAAGAAGAATTAGTATTTTTGAAGGAATGAGACTTGATTTGTGTTATTGATGTCAGGATATATGACAAAGTATACATAATACATTCATAGTGAAATCAATTCCCACCTTTGAAAAAATACTAATAAATGCTGACATTAACATTTTCTCAAAATTCTCAAGTCTTAGTTTTGAAAATCAAAACACCATGTATATGACAGCAGGTTACTTTGTCTTTTATGAATTAAAATTTTAGTGAACCTTTTTTTTCAATACTTTTTTTTCTCAGTTAATATATAGGTTTCTTTGGTTAATTCAATCACATGTTGGATAGAGTTTTAAGATTTAACATCAGAACATCAAAGGTATGGATGGAAGAAATCTAAAAGTGGTCTACCAGAACTGAGACATATTTTTCTTTAATGTGACTGGATGCTACACCATTCATGTTATCCAGTGAAACATTGTGCCACTCTCCAGGTTGACCACCTACATGAACAAATGTAATTATATGGTACTGTTAATGTTGGTTTTTATATATATTATATATTTTACACAGAAAAAAATGAAATATTCAAACTTTTATGAGATAAAACTTTAACAAACTGAATGAGGGAGAAAAAATATGGTATAATTATTCAAAACATTTCACATAAAAAATTAACAGGTTGATAATTTTTTTGGAGTTGAAATTCTTTTAAAACATTCTAAAAAATCCCTAAGAGATATGATTTGAAGCAGAGATTTAATAATTAAATAATGCAGAACAATGTGCCAAAAACCAATCAAGTATACTTTGATTTTAAATATGACAAAGTTTTAAAGCTTAATAAGTGGAAAGGTTTAACTGATGAATGAACCTTTTCCACACAGGAAGGGTATCATTGACATCTCTTGATTTCTTTTCTTCTTACAGTAGAAATATTTAATCAAATTGCATGAACCTTAGTAAAACTTACTACTTAATATCTAGTTCCAGCATGAAAAAAAATCATATAATTTGATTTACTTTTTCTATCATTTTTTTACAGTGTCAAATTTCCAAAATTTTCAAGAGAGTGTTTTGAATTTCTATTTTATATATACAATCAATGTCAAATTGATTAACATTCTTTAATATATTTCTTTTTATATATCATTTTGCCAGTTTTAGTAATCATTGCTTCTGACTATAAATCATTAAAAATCCAGTGAAACCTGACAGATTTACCAGTGACCTATGACATGACCTGTCACAATGCTATCAGTTTCTCACAATATTCTTAGTCAAGATTAACTTTTATCTAATAATTATAGTTTATCTTCAATGAATGATAAGTCCTTTCACTGATCTATGTTGTCTGAATATGATAAGCTTAACAATAATATTGAACAGATAAAACTTGACTCACATTTGAGTCATCCAAATGTTCTGCTGTTACATATGATACACACTAAACCTAACTAGCTTTACATAGAAGAGTGGTGGGCAGAGCACAGATAGCCCATTGTGTAGCTTTGTGCTTAATTACAAACAAACAATATATAGAAGAAAATTTACATGGCTCTCAAAGAGACATAACTTAACACAAAAAAATTTTACAGAAAAAAAACAAATACATCTAAAGAAACTATAAAAAATCCCATATCTGTGGTTTATTCCTAAGTCTTCTAAACTTCTCATTAATTTCTATTGGTCTTCTCTGCAGGAGCTATATGTAATCACTTTTCCACAAAAGAACAAATTACTCATTCACCACCCTATTCATTTTACATTGTTATAAATAGTCTATAATCTATTATATTTAATGGTACCTATGTTTTGCCTGCAGCTATTTTCAAAGTAAAGTTTCATTAGTAGTTTTAAAAATCACATGCTGTGATATCATAAAGGGATATGAATGAGAGGCTTTACAAATAAAATCAGAGAAAGGGAAGGCAAATCACATCTGAAACAAACAGTTGAGAATTATATTCTGAAGAGATGATTGTTTCTATGTAAATCTAAATATATGATTTGTGTTTGGCAGAACAATTATAAAAAAACTGATAAGTCCATTGATTATGGATAAAACTCTTCAGAACTTTGTAAGTTTGGAAATATTAAAATTATAAAAAACAGCAAAAATAAACTCTAAAATACTTTTTTAGTGAAAAATTATTGAAATAATGGAATTATTATTTTTGCTTAAAGTTTGAACTTTGATAAGCAAGCTTGCACTCAACATCTGAAAGGTGTTCATTGGTCTGGATAGGGTTACTACTTATGATTATTATTGAAAAATATCTTGAAATATATAATAAAGGACAGAAAATATCATCTAGCATGCCATAAATGTAAAAACAGGTTACATTATGTAGGTATATACGTATATATATGTGTCTAATCTAGTAATCCATTAAGCTTAAAATTTAAAGTACCACTACATAAAAGGACATTTCTAAACTAAAATTATTTTACAATATCATTACTTGAGCTCAAGGGTAACTATAAATACAGGTTGAAAATCTAATGAAATGTCACTACGCTTCAAAAATCTGCCAAAAAGGTCATTTTATATTTTAAAGTTCAATTACTATATGTAACAATACACTCATGGCATTAGATTTAAAACTGTAGCTAAATTCATTTATATAAATGCAATGATGTTAATTAGCATCAGATTTGTTGCTAAGATTTCTAATGTTAAACTATAACTTATTTATTCAGAAAAATATTATAAGGACACTTACTGCCAGGTGTGTCACTAGACTTGAGAGCAAATGACCAACTGTCTGGATTAACTGAAGCACAGTGAGGTAGCCTCAACTCAACAGGAATGTTAAACTTTAATCCATGAGGTCCACACATAACCAATGGACTAAGCAACATTTCTCCTGTAATTCATAATAACAAGTAGTATAAGTAAAATGAGTAAGTTACAATCAAGTAATTAATTTCAGTTAAATCTAACCTTCAATCTTTTTTTCTTAACTATATCTAGGCCACAAGGGAGAGACATAAATGTAGTAGGAACAAGAATGTGACTGATTATGTAAGTAGTTAAAACTCCTATCACAAAACCTATTGACACATGAAATACCATGCTATCTTGTTATTACTATTTCTAATATAATCTTGCCATTTGTATTTATTTCTCAATGTTTTCTTGATTACATGTGATTATTTGTAGTATATAAACATACCATGCATTTTCTCCCATCTTATTTTACTGTAGTGTTATTCAAAATTTGTCAGTTGTTCTGGTATGTGTAGTTTTTACGTAACACATGTTGCTTTTGTTCTAGCTGTTTTTTTGTACTTTGTCATTCTCTTGAGATAACATGTGGTTGCCAGTGGAAGTATGGCTCTAATGCTGTACATTGTGTAAGAAAGTCATCAGCAGTGTCCTTCAACAGTAGGTCAGTTGATACCTCAAAGTTACAATCTGTCTTAAGTTTGAGTGAGAATGACCAGTCACGTAGGTTTAAACAGTATGGTAGATGATCTCAGTCAAGTCAGTCAGATAGAAGTTCTCTCTCATCCGGTTAAAACAACTGTGTTGCCAAATAATCAAATACACACATAGTGTTTGTATTATAATATATAATGTGATATAATAATTATTGGGATTTTATGTGTTAAATTGTGTCAATTTTCTTTATTTTATTCTTGCAAGCTGAGTTATTCAGAGAAATTCAAAACCACTTTGTATTAATCATCTTCTTGAATCTCCTGTTATTTACTGGACCTATCCCATTGTTCAAAGAAAAATCATTTGGCTTGAATCATACAAATGGAAAGTAATTCTACAATAAAATTCAATATGCAAGCAAATAAGTAATTACATAAAGTACTTTTTTCAATTAATTCTTTTGCAAGTTAGTCTGAATGAACAGCAACATTTATGAATTTAGCTAGAGCTTTTGTAATTATCAAGCATTTTTGTATTAACTGTTCTGTGTGTGATTCTAGAGTGTAATATCCAGGGTTTATAGGGTGTGGCTCCAGGTTAAGGTATGAGTCTTTGTAATTAAAAAAATAAAACTTGGGAAGTTCACCCAGATAAAATAGTTTATTTTTAATAGTTAAAACAAACTTTTTTTAAACTTTCTATCTGTCAAAGAGTGTGAACTTGTAGTAATTTCTGATCTCGCTGCAATTACTATTTTGCTGCTTTGTGACGTTTAGAATTTTTTATAACACACACACAGTAAATTCAATTTCTAGTTACAATTACTAGCTTATAAAAGTTTTTGTTTTTAGATACATGTGTCATCTCTTAGCTGACAATGAACAACAGATATTTCTCACGAGAGTTTGCAGAAAATAATGTATTAGAAACCATATAAATAAATAAAAATGATTTAAACAGAAAAGGATATGATTTATTTTAGACAGAAGCAAGATATATCAAAATAAGGAAAATAAAAAAACAACAATAAAACAACTGAGTAGTTATAACTAGCATCTATTTTGCTATACTTGATGAGATAATTCTTGGAATGTTGTTTAGATACAGCAAGTAGTATACAAATGTTGTTTAAAAACTAGGACAGAAATGTTTGAAAATTTTCATCAGTATTTCAGCTAGGGAAACAAATATCAAACATTAATAAACTTCTCCATCTTTACAAAATCTTTGAAGATAATATACACCTAAACACAAAAACTTAAGTCTTACAAATTCTTGGAAAACAAACTAAACAATATAATTAAATTCTGACAGTTAAATCCATTTTCTTTTCTTAGTACTGAAACAAACACCTAACAATAGAAACCTTTCATAGGTCCTAAATATTCATCTTAATATTAATGAACATGTTAAAAATCAATAAATCAAAATTTGGCCATGTATTGTTTTTCAATTATGATATTGATTTTATCCCTTGATTCTAACTATATCAAAGTTCTTCTTAATCACCCCTAAAATCATAGTGGCTCATGTTCATTTCCTAGGAAATTCATTCAAGATATCGATTACATAGTAATACTAAAACTCTTACTCAAATGAGTTAATGTTAAACAAAATAATGAGAGTGGACACACGTGTAAAACAAGATGAACAATCTTTATTAATATATGCAACACAAACAGAGTGTGTGTACTTGCAATGTACTTATGTCAGGCTGTCACTTCTACTAGTCTACCAGGTGTTTTCAACATCAGCTCATCTACCCAGACTGTTAAATGAAAGGTTTCTTAGCTTCAAAAAGAAACTTTGGATTTACCCAGCACAATATCTGATATCACTTGACTGGTCATTCTCATTAAAAATAGGTGAGACCATAACCTCTAGATATCACCTGTACAACAATTGAAGGACACTGCTGTCAACATCCTAACACAAGGTTGCACAGATGGTTAAAGGTATTACCAACTTTGAGAATAACAAAGGAAAAAGATAACTTGAAACAAGGTCAATTTAATGGTTTTATTGATCACATGTTATATGAAATCTGCACATATTCAGAACAACAAATAAATAAAAAAACTATTATAATACTACACATAGTATATTCATATACCACACTACTATAAATTTTTTATTTGATTTGTATTATTTTAACAACATTATAAACATTCTTAAAATATGTTGAAGCAATAATTTGGATTTCATGAGAATTACCTAAATCATTTACCTGAAAATTAACATTCAGAAATGGCTGTTAAGATGTTGCTATAGTGGTTTACTGAGTATGAAATTGTCAAAATAAGTCGGTGCACACAAAGTTCTTAAGAATTCATACTTATCACAAAGTATTTTGATAAAAGTTACATTTTAAACAATGATCCTGATGAAAACTTCTGATGAGGGTTGAAAGTTAGCTTCAGTAAAAAACAACTGGTAGCAAGATATCAAAAATGGTGTAACCTATTTTTTATTAAAGTATTTTTTAATCTTATATCACAGCATGTGGTTATTCAACTTTTCAGGGTTCCAGATAAATACATTCTGTAATTTCAGATGCATGTGTGTAAAATATTTACTTGGTTATCTTATGATAATTTGGAGTTGAACTATTTTCTGTTGTTTTTATTAAAACCATTTCTGCACCTGACTCTTAAGTACCCTTGATATACATAACAAACTTGGTACTTCAAATGTTAAAAAAGGAAGGACAACTAGCATGTTAAATTAAAGAAAATAATTTCAGTCCTATTATACCTTTTGTTTTGTTTGACTCCTTTATACCATAGATAAGCTTTAGTCACATTGCAAACTGCATAAAGTTTCTGATAATCAAGCTAAATTTAGTTTTCTAGCTAACACAAAAATTTACAAACCTTTCTCTTTGTCCAAAGGAGGTAGCATACTTGTGTCCTGGCAAACTTTAAAGTAAATTTCCTGGTCACTTCCTTTAGGTAATGCTCCTGGTGGAATGACAATTTGAACTCCAGTCTCCTCTGACATTAGAGTTCCTCCAGTGTGATTGAAAATTCCTCTTGCTGTAGCAACAACTCTATGGTTGCTATCCACAGAGTCAGAAGACAATGGTCTGATGGTAAAGCATAAATACATATAGTTTACCTACTTAGATTTAATGTAGAAATTTGGGTTTGATTAGAAAAGTTATTTTTTTATGCATATGGAATCAAACCAAAAAAATGTAATGTAACCAATTAGTGCAAAAGCTTCCTAATTCTCAGCAAATTAGTTTGATGACAAGCTGAGCATTAAATAGTGATACTGTACATTTTCCAACATGCAGTTTGCCATCAATATAGTATAACTACTGTAATGAATTTATTATTATGTATTTATTTTTAATATGAACGTTGTTTGGATTGAATTTGTATTTAGAAATAGGCATGACTTATCAGATATGTGTTGCGTATAATAAATTTATGATATATTTATTTTAATGTCAACATTTGTTTCGAATAAGTTTATATTTGAGGGCGTGTATAGCTTACTGTCTTAGTTATGTATGGCAAAATCCCCGCCAATTCTTCAAGACTGTAGAACATTCGTGAAAAAGAATCAGAAATATACATCGATTTCCGTATCCAGTCTTATGAGAAGGTTCTAGAAAGTGTGTTTCACCTATAAAAGCAGCAAGGCATCACACCAAAAAACAACAGACAAAAGAGAACAAACAACAGAGAGGCCTATTATGAAACTGTTGTTGCTATAAACTGTGATTTCGTTAACCCCAACAACTGGAAAATATACGACATTTGACCAGGAGCCGTTATAAATTCAGAAAGTCATTGAATTCCCATCAAACATTAATATCTCCCCAAAAATATTACTACTTTTTCAACGAACACTAGTGATTTTGGTGAAAATATTATCTTATTTCAACAGTCCAACAATTCAGTGCCTGACAAAGCTAGCTAGCTTCGTGCCAAATTCTATTCTACATACACCTCGCTGGATATGAAGGAGACTCTGAACTAGTAAGATGATTTTAGGCTATTTGTAAGTTACTGAAATTTCTGTCTATAAAACTTTGTTTGTAATAATTAATGGTTGCTATTGTAGTTTATAGTGTTGTATATATATATATATATATATATATACTGTATATTAAAGCTTATTTGTGTCAAAACTAAAAATGGTGTGAATCAATCTTGTTGGCGAATAGTGTAAATTAAATAAAATACCAGCATATTTCTAAACCTAAATCCAAGGTACGTCTCAACTATTAAAAGTTAAATTATTTAATGCAGCCTTGAATTGTTTCAAATTCTCAATACGTAACACTACCGACACAAAAACAAAAAGATCAATCATTCTCACCTTAAACTATTGTTCAACATTAGCAATTAATGTAATATTGTAATATTTCAATTGTCTACATTCAAACAAACAAGTATGATCACTATATATACCTTCCAGAGGAGTTGGACATAACATTTGATTTAAGAAATAAAGTGAAAAGACTAATTTTTGATACAACTGTATCAAATTGAGTGCACTAATTCAAAAACTACCTGTAAAATAACTCACCCTGAAAGTTCAAATGGTGAAAGATTTAACTTTTGAGTCCCTGTGGGTGAGGATGAATCTGATTTTTTGTACAGTTCAAATGCACTACCACGGTTTTCTCTGTTGGAGAGATCCAGAAGGCCAGGAGGAGGGGATGAAGAGGCATGATGTTCTTGAGAGTATGCCATCTCATATTTATAAGGGTTACTGGCAGAGCCATGTGGAATGTTTTGATATGGTCCAGTGCCATTCATCAAAGTTGAAGTATATGAAGATGGCATAGTTATACTATCATTTCTAGATTTCATGTGGGATTGTAAACCAAGATGATAATCATAGTCTAAACTGTTTCCTTGTTTTGAGCTATACCTGACATCTTTTTCTAGGTCCCTTCTCATGGGAGGTGGATGAAAGTGGTTATTTCTGTATGACTGCTCTCGCATTAGTGGTGGAGGAGGCCGGGGTGGGGGTGGAGGCTCAATTCCTGAATAGGAACGGGTGTGGTAGAACCCAGGAACTGAGCCATGCCCTGACCCATCTTGACTGTTGTATTTCCTATGATAGAAGTTTTCCTGAGATGTTTTTTTTCTGATCCCATCTGTTAGAAGGTCATCTTGCCTCCATAGTCTGTTTTGATAATGTGCTGGCTTAGGGGGAGGAATGGGTCTACTACTAGGTGTTCTGCAAAAGAAATAATGCAATATTACAGTGAATAAAGTTAATAATCAATTATTTTTCTTGGGCTTGTATTTTTGAAATTATCTAGAAATAGAGATAACAAAATTAATATTAATAAACTTACAGCTGGATTGCTATACAGAAAGGAAAATCATAGTGTAAAAATACACTTGATGGGTGATACACATTATTACTAAAATACTGCAGCAAACTGTAAGCTTAGGACGGTAAATACTATTTTTTAAAAAGTTTACTAATTTTCTATTTCATCTATTACTAGTTACTGCAAACCAGATTAAAAAATAAATCAGAGCAATGTTCTCAGAATAATTAACACCAAATACATAAGAGTATGAACAATGTGAAAGAAAACAGGACATTCTGGTTATTTAGCAAAATATTGAGTTACATACATATATGTATTTATACACTCCAAAAGCGAACTTTCAAGGATATAAGTATTATTTGCATTGTACAACTGGTGGCAGTTTTAACTGGCCTGCCAACCACCAGGCAAACTGAAAATAAATAAACAAAAAATTAAGTTACAAATCAAGATAATTTTTAGTGTCTTAACTTTTAGACTTATTTCTTTAATGTTTGTTACCTATTACTGTATTACTCTGGTGCTTAATATCAGTGATCTTGAGTAAAAGCCATTTTTCACACATACATAATGTGAGCCCCTGAAATTACACTCAAAATACTATGTGACTTGCCACTAGCACAAAATAGGACAACCCTAATCTATTTATTTAATGTTTGTTACCTATTACTTTATTACTCTGGTGTTTAATACCAATAAACTTGAATAAAATCATGAATATATATATATTTTTTAAAGGTAACTGGTGTTAGGGCCCATGAAACCACTATGTAACCTGCCACTAGCATTAAATTGGACAACCTAGATCTGTATATTGAATATGAAGAGAAGACTGTTTTTTGATAGATAAAAAGAAAAAACTTTTTAGTTTCATCCAACAAAAACCTTCATTTAACTATTTACTGAATGAGGTTTGGTTATTTTCCTCATTGGTCTAAAAACTATTCTCATATACCTCTAGATTTAAATATTCTATTTTAACATACTAAGCCTTAGAAAGATGGTCAGTAATAAGATATATCTTTGAGAGTACTCTTTTCAGATTTTACTTTGGAGGTAACAAATCATTGTCTTCCCCTGTCGTACCTGTTTTAGAAATATTCTTCCATACTGCAAAAATGTAACTTGTAATAAAATAACACTTATAATCAGAAAGTCAACACAAAATGAAACATATTAAAAAATAAATTCCAACATATGGAGAAATAATAAGAAACAGAAACATTTGAAAGATATGCTTTACATGTATGTCTCTCATCACATTTATCTAAAACAAAATTTTTTTTACTAAAAATAGGGGATTGTGGCTTCCAATTCCTAAATCTAAGTAAACAGGACCGTGTAAAGTTATAAGTCAATTTCAACTAACACAATGATTTAGATTTTCTTATTTTTTTGCTAATTATCATCTTACCTGGAACCAAAATTTGCAGGTTTAGGAGGTGGAGATGGAGGTTTTTTCTCTTCTAATATACTGAAATATCAAATGAACAACATGATAACCAATACACATTCATCTATACATTGATAAAACATAATAAAGATTTGAAATGAATAACTAAAAATACAAACCGAGTTAGAAAGTGTGTACATTATATTAAAGCAACCTCACAAAAGGAGATGAAGTTTACTTTAGTTAGTGCTTTTATCATTAAAATCCTTGCTGAGCAAGTGAGTGAGGAGGTAAATCATAATTTTGTGATTTCAAGATGGTAAAACAAAACTAATATAAAACAGTAAATAAGTGTAAAAATTATATAATCATGTGATTTAACATGAACAAAAAAGTTAGAAATTGGGATAAAGGGGGGACTGAAAAAAAAAAAAAGAAGGTTAAAATCATTTCTGTGATAGTATTTTGTTTTCTGTGTGAGAATAATGAATGATCTAAAAGGTTACTGGCAGGAACATTTACGTACATTAAAAGACTTAGTGGAGTATTATCAAATAAAAACATTAGTCTCCACAATGTGAAAGTACGAGATCTAGAAAATATATTCCCTTTCAGTTTAATCAAAACACTAAACAACACAGATATGAAGGTTAGTAAAGTTAATATTTTTACAATAATTAAAAGAAAAGTTAGAAATGTAAATAGAAACATATTTTGAGAAATAACATCTTACCCATGCCTGGGATTAACCTGAGAATGTCTGCCAGAATCCATCTCTATATTTCTGGTATTAGACTGTGTTGAGCTTTTGGTAAAATGATGATGATCATGAAGAGAATGGACATTTTGATTGGTAGTTAAGACAAATTGCTCACTTGTTCTAACAGGCTCCTTAATTTAAAAAAAATAAATAAAAAGTTGTCTTAGCTACTTATTTTACAGCTCATAAAAATTCTAATACCTTACTTCAAGTGGTGAACTAACTTTCATTTATTTAGACAAAGGAGTTTACATATTTTCTAGAAAAACTGGAAGCACACTGAAATCAACTCAAAATTGAAAAAAAAATTTTATTGAATAAATTTCAACTCTGAAGTATTTTTCTATGTGTGGAGGAACAACTACAAGTTTATTTTCATAATTTTTTAATTTAATTGTGTAATTTTGCCCTTAACTCTTTCAGGATTAAGGCAGATTGCACCCATCTGGGCATGAAAGAGTTAATTTTTTAAGTTTAGGGACTTCAAATCAGTCTGAGGTAATAAATATAAAAACTTTACAAAATCTTAAATACTATAGGAGCTTTAGTCTGATTTTCAGAATTTTCCATTGACATATCATACATACTTAATTATCCCTTCAACCACAAATATGAACATGATCCACCACAGTACATTTTTAGTCTTTCATTATACTTCTTAGCTTAGGTAATCTTTAAGGTATAAATAGTGGTGATTCTCTCAAATATATGAAAATGGTTGAAAATACAAAAAAAAAGTCATGCTCATTGAACGTTAAATTATCACATGTAAGTAGTTACTACTATAACAGGATTAACAAGTGTTTCCTTGATAACAATTCCAGACATAACACTCAATATAATACAAAATACAAATAGCAGTAAAAAAAAAAAAAACGTTTGGAATATAACATGTAAAATCTAATGAGTTAAAACAAAACTTGTCTTATATGGAATACTTTACTGTTGTAGTCCTTTAATATAAAATACAAATAGCAATAAAAAAAACTTTTGGGATTTAATGTTTATGAAACCTAATTAGTTAAAAAACATTTATTTTAAACACCGTTCTTTTACACATGTAGTCTTTCAGAACAATTTCAACTAAGTTCTTACAAAATTTTCTTCCATAACTTCATGGGTAAACAACTAACCAATTACATGGGTTATTCTCTCTAGCTTTATGGAGAAACAACATTAAGTTTAGTATAATATTTGAGATTTTATAATATGGAGATTAAGTGATGACTTCAAAGAAATAAATAAGTTTCAAATATCTGACTCGTACTTAGTTTCTATCAAGTAAAGAGTTATAAAACATGCATAACGTTTGGTAATAAAAACATTAACATGATTTTTGAGTCTTATTAGCAGATTAAAAACTACTTACTGATCTTATATTGGATCTGTCTAGTGTAGTGGATCTCGAAGGTACAGTATTTATATAGTCAGGCATGTCAAAATCTTTTGCATTGCTTCTTCCTAAAAATAAAAGAAAACATTGAAATTACATCAAAAATATCTCAATAATTACTGTTGAGAGTATTTTACAATATCTCAATATATACTTAAACATCAAACTCATACAGTGTTCAATACCAATTGTTAATTGACAATTTTATTAATTTTTTTATTTGTGAGATTTTTTTCTTTATAGGTTTAAAAATGTAATGAAATGAGACAAAATGTATTTTATAACCTCAGTTGTCCATAACCATAATAAAAGAAAGTGAGTTGTAAATATCAAGGCATTCAAGTAACAGAAAGATCATATCAAATTTGCTCTTAAGAAGTGTATTTATACCATTGTATAAAGTGCTTCAAAGAGAATTGTTTTTCTTGATCTTCACTCTACACATGCTAGTGACAGTTACTCATTTCAAGATTTTATAAGAAGTAGTAGAATAACTTCTATTTTCTTCCTAAACATATGTGGTCTATCTTACAAAATTTATACAGAAAAAAGAATAATAATCTCAAGTTAGAAACAAATAGCAAAATCAATGTACAGAAGTTTCTCCTAAACATACTTTCTGATAAAATGGCTAACTATTAGCTTTGTTACAATAGAAACAAATCAGACCACAACTGGTTTGGGAATAAAAAAAACACACATTTACAAAAAATATAAGTTGTTGTAAGAAACTGCAAAGTGTATGCTCAATCTTATGGTTCTTGTACAAATATGACAAACTGAGGAAATAAAAATAACTTTAAAATACCTTACAATACTATTGCCCTTCCCCCCTCTTCCAGTGGCTCAGTGATAAGACTGAAGACATATAATACTAAAAGCTGAGTTCCAATATTTTTGGTAGACACAGGTGTAGCTTTGTGCTTAATGACACATACACTAAAAATAATCTAATAATGTGAAAAAATAAATTACTTTAACAGAGTGCTGTAGGGTAAATCTATGCCATGACAAAATGTCAGATCATTATATATGCTGTTCACATTTACATTTCTTAACAGATACAAGGCATTACAGATTCATTTACAGACATTCTAGTGGAGTTTTGATGCAGCATCAATAGACTTCTGTAGATTTGGTTTGCTGAACTAATTTGTGCTATAATAGAAAGAATCAGTACACACGAAGATCTTGCAATTCACCGGTAAAGTACAAAATGTGTGGTACAGAAAAGAAATCAAAACACAAAACTATCATCCTGAAGAAAGAAGCTATAATGAATATAGATAATTTAATTAGTTTTGTTAGTTTGTAATGGTATGTAACTTGACTATGTTCATTTTTAATTGAAAAAAAAGTTTTTTAATAAGCCTAGATTAAGTTCAAGCATAGTTGTAAAACAACCATGGTTTAGTTAGTCTTTATGTTTACTTGAAAACAAAAGTGTTTAGATAGACTAAAATAACACTTACGTGTAAAAAGGGGTTACTAGAAGGTACTATGTTTTAACATTTAGTTAATAGGCAAAATGTTAATATACTTCATATTGTTTATATTATAGAGTATCAACATAGGAAAAGCTACTAATAATCTTTTTTCAGTTTTAGTTGTTTATGGGATGGAAGAATCACTAAAGATTTTATGGTATTCTCCACTAGAAAGGATTATTATAGAATGAAATACATTATAGATACTGACAATGATTGTTTCTCATGTTAAACAGGTTGGATGCCTTGAGGGTATAAAACTCTCTTGTTGACTTTATAATGGGCCCTCAATCATGCGTGTAGCATGTGCCTCTAAAGTAAGATAGAAAGTAAGTGTGTATATTAACATACTGTCTTTGTTTTCAACAGCTTTTGTTCTAGAATTTGCTGTGATACAGATTGATATTTTGTTTGGGTATAGCTAGTTTTTAGATAGATCTTCAGTAGATCGATTCTGTTCTTTTTTGAGTGTAGAATTTTAGTGCTCAAAGACTAACTTTGAGCTTTAACATTTTATTAAGCCTGTTTTTATTTCACTTATTTTCACTTCTTGGTTCACAGCTCAATTGCAAAGCTGAGCTTTAAGAGTTCTTTGTTTTATAGAGTATTATGTTAGTGCTTTGTTTTAAATCACTTGGTTCCTTCATGTTAGACAGTTAGTGGGAGATATAGATAAAGTGTTGCTGCTTTAAGGTACAGTTTTTACAGTGCTTAACAGTGTTCCTTATTTTTAAAATTTGGATTTACAACACTTCCACCCCTTCATTTTGTTCCAATATATAAATAAGTAATCCACACCAAATTTTATTCATACTGATTATATTTAGGGGTTGCATATTTTGAATATTCTAGAATGTTCCAGGATATTCTAAATAATTTTGTAAGGCTCTAGATTATTCTGGAATGTTCCAGCATATTATTATGGAATATTCTTGCATATTCTAGTATACTGTAGCACATTTTGAAATATTCCAGACTATTCCACATTATTCAGATCATTCAACAACATTCCATATATAAATAATCCATGCTGAAACTTTATACATCTGGAATATACTGTATGACATGATGGTACTTTATAAAATGTCTGTGAAGGTATATAATTACTTAAGCAGATTCTTCTGTATCATTTCAGCTGACACTGTATCAGCATATCACTTGCAACAAGAAGTAAATTACCATCCAATAGACAAGTGCTGTGTGTGTGTTTTCTACCGTCAGAAAACATTAAAGAAGACAGTTTGTGAAAGCTAAAAAGTTGTGATCAAGGAGGCTACATCTTTCTGGAAGAAAACTTGAATTCCAATTCATCCAGACCATTATCAAATTGGAAAAGCTTTTTGAAAAATTGACAAAGCTAAAGTAAAATTAAAAAAAGAAAACTGAAACACAGCAAACTAATGAAGCAGAGTTTGTCAATAATCTGGATAACCTTTTTGACATCACTCATAGGGATGCCCTGACCCTGATCAAGATCCCAAAAGATAAGGACTTTCTTCTTGCTCAAAGGGAAAGAGGACATTATGGGTATTTGGGCCAGGAAGATAAGGTTCTTTCTTTAAAAGAATCAATAGCTGAGAAAAGAAGTGAGGAAAGTATGGTTAGGAAACAATATACATGCAAATAAGGCCCACCCTAGTGCTTAATTTAATGTATATTTGTTTCTGTTTAAGTTTGGCCTTCAATGTTAACATTTTAATTTTTTCATTCATTTACACTTCTTGGCTCACAGTTTAAATGCAACCCGAGTTTTTTGTGAGAGACTTAATAAAGGTCTTTCTCCTTCTCTTTAGTTATTACCAACACACTAGAAACAACTGCATATATTTAATTGTTTAACTTAACTTTGATCTGTGTTTATTTGGTTAATGATTATGTACCATCTTTTTCTTTGCGACAAACTCAGTCAGGTTTTAAGGAGAAACAAACTGATACTCCAGTGTACAGTATTCATCAGATATCATTCTTGTTGGCCCTACCCATTTACTCTTGAGGGAAATCAATGTATTTGAGAATAACAAAAAAAAAAAACCTATTTAGCTATACTGAAGTCATGTTTACTTGAAATATAAGTGTTTAGTTAGACAAGGTTCATGTTTACTTGAATAAAAGTGTTTATGTGGAAACTAAGTGCTTAAATTAACTAGACTTATGCTTTCTGGAAGATCAATTGTGTTCATATTAACCAGACTCATACTTACTTGAAAGAATTAGATATGGTATTGAATTTGAACATCTTTACAATTATGTTTCTTGTTACAGTATTTATTGAGATCTGACAAAATACAATGTTAACCGTCTATTGACTGTTTTATGTAAAGCCAGTATTAGTTTCTAAGTTAACTAAAATCACTTAAAACATTCTTTCCTATGCTTCACAAGGGTTTAATTATGTGGTTTAAAAATTAATCTCAGCCCTGAGAATCTGTGTACACTTAGACTATTATTCACTAAAAGCATCAACTTGGATTCTGGCAGAAAATATTGCTAACAGAGAGGGTAACTAAGTGACGAACCAATGTATTTTAATCATTATAAGTAAGAAAGTGCATTAAATTAGCTACATTAATTACAGGGTTAATTTTTAGTTCTGATCTATGTAGGCAGATTGCTTTGATCAGAAGTTAATGATAATCACTTGTACAAATACTCTTATCAGTATCTCATACATTCAGTAGTATAAAACTATAAGTGAAATATTAAGTTGTATTAATTTGTTTTATCCAAGAAGAAATCATGTCATTTCATAAAGAAACTCAGGTCATGTTTTGAAAATGTATACTTAACCCATTAGATAGATATACATACTTAGATTGTGTACTATCCTAGAAAAGTTTAAAGGAAAGCCATTGAACATAATTTACCTGTTTTCATATACAGTTTCTCCTGGACACTGCGGAATCTCTGAGGCTTACTGCTTCTGTCTATTACAGGTGGAGGCTCTGGCTCTGATGGAGGAGTTCCTAAACCCACATAATTGTTTATGAGGGACAAAAACCAACTACTCTTATATGATTTTATAATAAATATTAAATCAAAAGTTCAAGGAATGGCTTATTTTAGTTATTACTCTGTTTGTACTGAAGTAGTTTCTCATATAAACTCTCTTAATGTTTTAATAATACAGAAACCAATATAATTTATGTGTAAAATGTCACATGTAATAAGAAAATTTTTTAATGGTTTAATACACAATCTTGTCACTTTTGGTAATTTATGTGTTCAAGCAAGCCTATCTAATGTCACCTTTCTGTTTCTTAATATACTTATCAATTAATAGTAGATTAACCATACCATTAAAATAAAAACATAAATTTAATTATTATAGTCCAAACCTATAAAGTCTCATGTACTGGTATGGGAGGTTTTGATTTATTCTGTATCATATCACAAGAAGTAACTTATTTTCACAAAATGACATTTTCAAAATAAGTAACAGAAATACAAAGTATAATTTTTCTCATCAAGGAATTAGAGGTGAATAAGACTTGCTTCAGGAAACTATAATTAGAAACTTGTCAGCATCTAGACTTGGAAATTGTATATTTTTACTATAAAAAATGCTGAATGTGATCCAATTAATCACAGAGGTAGGTTTATATGATTTTAGTAATGTGCATAAAACTTATAAGTGAAACAAGCACAAACCATATACAATAGTGAGTTACTGAGAAACTCAAAGGTCAGAGAATTTTATTTAAACTACATAAAAACAAAGTTGTGTATGTCAAACAGCCTCAAACTTATTATATGAGCTGCTCACTTGTATACCTTTAACCATATTTTAGCTTGTTTTCTTATATGAATAGGTAAAAAGCATAAAGCAAACAATTAGCTTTATGTGTTTATAAAGTAAGGTATATTCTTTTTTCAATGGTTGTTATAATGTTTAATATACAATTATGCATTTTTTATTATATATAACAAGTTAATTTTAAGGATTAATCACGTTTCAATTTTCAGTTTAGTATATGGATTTAATACTAATTTAAGTCTCTTAAGCTGTCTGAGCCTCACAAATTATTTTTGGGATTATGGCCAAAACTATCACTAACAATGAGGGCACCCAACTAGTTAATCAATGTATCCTAATAATTATAAGAAAAAATTTTACATTAAATTAGCCATATAAGAAGTTAATAGTAATGTAATTCAATATGAAAATATGTGACATTGTTGCTATTAAAGTGTGCTATTTAGATTCTTTTTGTTCTTGATGGAATTATGGTGGTTTATTATGAACCTCCTTTTTTTTTAATATACTAACTAAACTTTATATTGTTGTGAATTATCACACTGGTTGAAACAAGCAAAGTGCTCTAAATTGTAGAAAGACAGTTTAACATTATACTAACAATTCCCAAGCTTCAAAGATTAAACATAAGCAAAGAAATACAAATTTCTTTAAAACACATTAATAGAGTACAGTAAACTTCAATTGTAACAAAAAAACAGGTAGGTGCAAAAAGTCATTTACAGATTTCAAAATATATATATGAAGACAGTATGTGGCACTTAATTACTGACAAGAAACAAAACTTCTTTATAAAATATTACTGAATGTTTTTTAAGACAGATATATTCCAGTACACTGAAAGTAGATGAAAAAAAGGTGCATAGCTAAAACAAGTTTTTTTTTGTCTGTTTATGAACATAGTATGGTCATTGTCTTTATATTCTTGTCACAACTGTTGATTATTTCCTTGGTTATGATTACTCAAAAGATGGGAATGTTGAGAAATATTCTTTTTAACAATGCATTAGAGAATAGCACTGACTACCACAGAATAAACACCATGTTAACTGACATGTATTTCAGAGAATAAAAAAGTTTATGTTATAGTTTCCTTAACTTATACCTCTATTCTATTCAGTTAATTACACTTGCATTCAATTATCCAAACAAATGTGTGTTAAACTTATTTGATTGTAATTTCTTACTGTATTTAATGATCAACCAATTAAAATCATTTTGTGATACATCATTGGTATGATGCTAAACAGACATTACCTGCAGATAAAATACTGTATGTATGTTTAATAGAAATGATTTAATCTAAACAGCAGTAGATCTTGTAGTCCTAATGTGGAAGGATTAGCCAAGTAATGTACACTTGCCTGTAAAATACGTTGAAAACATTATTATGACTAGTATTGAATTATTTTAATATCTACCTAGTTTTATATAATATTCAGAAACTCATGTTCAACCTGTCCATAGATAAAATACAGCGATGTTTTCTCACCTGCATGTTCTCCATTTACTCTTGTTCTGCTTCTCTCACTTAAAGTTACTGTGTTATAAGGGCTCATATTAGATCTATGGTAGGTCTTTAACAGATTCTCCCTTCCATTCTTATCTGTAAAAATTTGAAATATAATGTTACTAAAACAAAAGTATAAGTTGAGTTATATCTAAATTTTTTTTGTCTTATTTCAAAATACATATAAAAACTACACCAAATTTCTAAATCAGCTTATTGTGCAACCTAAAAAATGTGCTGTAGATAATTTTCCTCAAACAATATTTTTTAAAGGAATAACTATGTCAAAGATTTAAGTCTTATGCCAATATGAACATGAATTGAAGCAATTCCATTTTTTTAGAAATAACCCATCAATCACTATCAAATCATTAAGTACTGTTGTAATTCTGGAATAATGAGAAAAGTTTACAGGAAAAAACAAAGCAACAATATTTGATGTTTGGATCCTGGATAAATTTTAGGGAAATTTTAAAAAGGAATTCTGCTTCAAACACAAAAGATGTTTTCCATAAGCAAAGACTATCAAATAACGATGATGAGACACTTGTGAAATAAGAATTCAAAATGAATAAAACAAACAAACAGTTATTTCACTATACCTTGTAGCATATGGTGGATGTCATTACAACAGATACAAGTTAGTTATTTTATTCTATCATCTACTGAATGCTTAATGTTAAAAAATTCATGCAAATTATCTATTTTTTCAATATTATACCAAACAGCTGATAATAATCAAAACATAATGAAATCAGTAATTCTATGCATGTAATTAAAAAACAAAATTCATAATTCTAGCATAAACAACATTATCATTAACCCTTGAAGTTAGTTTTTTAAAAATTTGGTGTTCCTTTAAAAATGGGTGAAACAGGAATTACTAGCTAATAATAGATGAACATTAGATGACTGCAACATATAGGATACTCAATGCTTTGTACACTATACAGTCGGTGTCTTTAAGAAGCCTACTCCTATATTATGTATGAAGTGAAGGAGTAAAAAAAAATCATTACACATAATACTAAATTTTATTACATCCATTCACAGAATACACTAACTTCCAGTCCGGAGGAAAAACGTCAAAAGACAAGTAATAAAAACATTTTGTAAATGTAAAATGATGTATGGATGGCAATAGCAAAATAATGCAAACAAGAATACAGGGATGATAGAGCTATATATATAGATCATCCCTACATAACTTTCAATATTAAAACTTCATGCAACACTGTAAAACGCATATTTGACTTTAATATTACTGCAGTTGGAAGTTATATACTCCTGACTGTTGGTATGCAATTTGTCATGTCAGGGTAGGCATCAATGTTGCGTAACAAAGAGCCTAACAAGGGAAACCAAACTGAGTCAAAATATGTCTTGATTATTACAGACTATTATAGACTGTCGATATAAGGTCAGTCGATTTGACTAACCATTTTGAAAGTCATGTAGAGATGAGCTATGTATAGCTGTATCATACCTATATTCTTGTTTACATTATTTTTGGCACTGCCATCCCTACATCACTTTACATTTAAAAAATGTTTTTATTACTTGTATAGATGTTTTGTTATATCATTAATGTTAACCAAAGTATAAAAACATATTAATTATTTTATTTACCACCTCTTATTAGGCATTAAGTTATAAGCAGGATATTATACCTGGGCTCTGTCTTGAATTTGGTATGAGTTTCCAGTTTGGATCACGAATAGAATGCTCTACTTGTGAAGTTGGTGAAGCTATAACCTGCATAGATAATAAAGATATTATATTTTAAGCATTCCAAAAGACAACAAAATAACAGAAGTAGTTAATTCAAAAATATAATGCCAGCTAAATTTTACAGTAGGCAAGTTCTGATTTTAATGATTACAGTGTTTTGACTCATAGTATCAGATCATCATTAGGTAAGAGTTACATTCAAAAAGGCAGTTAAATTCTAGATGAATAGTACAGACTTCTGATGGTGAGGACAAGTTTAAATATCTTATCCACTTCAATTTACTAAACAAACTAACTTAATGCCACATACAAAATTAGATTCATGATGGTTAGGACAAGTTTGTAGGCGACAATAAAATTTAAGTATAAATACATGTTGGTAGAGTTAAGCATTTTCGTTTGTTTTTGATATAAGGTGTGACCTGGCCTGGGGTGAGAGGTTGCTGGAAAAACTATGTTGACTTTTACATGAGATATATGAAAAATTATGATTTTTTGGTTAAAAATCATGGGTCAACTATTACATGAGACTGACTATTAAACAAGCATATATGTTAAGTATTATAATTTGTTATTAACATCAGGTTTAAGCAGTCAGTCACATTAGTTAAACTAAAATAGCAATATCTTAAAACTTTTAATATTTATGTTGATCCAAAGCTAACTGTCTAGCTTTTTTCTAATGGTTGGAGAATTTTCTTGTATTTTTAACTTTCCCTTGAAACAAAAACCATGGGCACTAATGATTATGTACTAATTTAACACCCTGAACATATTACTAACAACAGTCCTATTTATGCAATTCCTACCTGTTGTTGCTGCTGAGAAGGAGCATATCCAGGATTGTTCATAATGTCTTCCTGAGTTGCTATACTGGGATCACTAGAGGCTTTAACTAATCGCTGATCAATACCAATGGTAGGTGTTGCCACATCTCCTTGCATGCTCAGAGGGTGATAGTCTGACACTAAGTCAACATCACTCTCAGGGGATGAAGCATAACTTAATCGTGAAGTCATTGGAAACAGAAAGTCATCAGATATGTTTTTTTCAGGCTATATGTTTGTATAGAGTTAGAGTATCAATACATTTACATATGAATGTATATAAAAAAAATAGTTTAAGTAGACATATTCAAGGCCATTTTTGGAAATGAATTTCAAAATAAACTAAAAAAAACTTTTTAATTATACATCTTTGAAGACTGTGAAACACATGTTAATAAAGTTCAGTAGCCAGTTTAGCCCAAGTTCTGATATTAGGAATATGTTAACTGTATTATTTACTGGGTTACTTTAATATCTGGTCTTTGTATATGGCTTATTTTAATCACAAATAATTAGTAATAAAATAAAGACAGAAAAATAGATATTTAAGATTCTAAGTTTAGAATTATTAATATTACAAGTAAACATGTAAGGAAAAAAAGCACTGGTTTCTACCACAATTTAGCTCAAATTAGCTTTAATATTGAAGTTTTTCCAACTTTGTCCAAAACCTTAAGATATTCAACTTCAAACTTGTTTCCAAATTGTTGTTCATAACTAAATCCCTGACCGAACATATTCCAATACATAAAAATCCTAAAGATCATTTAATTATTTTTCAAATGATTTCACTTACTGAAATCTGTCCCAATATATATATATAATTTTTTATATTAATGATAACTAAAATTTCTTCATTTGAATATCATAAAGGGACATTTTCTTACTTGTCAAGCAAACAATCTCATACCTTTGATTCACTAATCCAAATAATTCGTTGTTGTTGTTTTGATATGGTATCAAGTAATTTCTTGTACCAACTGTCTTCATTTGCTATGGTGATAGTTTCTATGAGGATTAAAAAGGGCATTTTAAATTATGATCAGCTTAAACACAGAAAGATTGAAGTTACAATGTATAATTAAACTTTAAAATAACCATACAAATGAAACTAATATATTATCTATAAAGTTTTAACACAGCAATTATGTGAGAATCATCATAATACTCTAGTAGAAAAAATACAACAGCATTTCTTTCTGAGAATATCACAGTAACTTACAATCATAAAATTACTAAAGAAATATTTTTTTAAAATGTGCAGAATTACAACACTGTCTTTTATAACATACGTATCACAAAATATAAATACTAAAACTCAGACACTTTCAGAATTAGTTTTAACATTTGAATAGATCAAACAATTAAATTTAGATATGTGACTGAACAACAATTTTTGAAGTTATTAACATTTATGTAGCTTGCACTATTGTGCTCAATGAAATGATAATTAATATCTATCTAAAGAACCTTTTTTTCTTTGGCATAATAGCTTCAATTTCAAACTGGATGATATAAACAATGTAAAAAAACTGTGCTTAATTACAATGTGAAGCTTAAATAAAATTCATACAAATCAGAACTCCAACTAATCTCAGAAAGCCAACCAGAGCCAAAGTGATACAGCCCTTCTTGGTCTAAGATTCTTGTTCCACTTAGTTCAATAATTATGAATAGTTTTGAAAACACACATTGTTCATTTTAATTGTACAATAGGTTATTCTCTCTTAATATTTTTGAAGAAAAACTGATCTGAAAAGAAGGCTTGTTTTTTCTGCAATTTTTTTAAATTGTTAAAAACCTAAACTGACAAATTTAAATATTTTATGAAATATATATATATATGTTTTCCTTATATTCCTGTTTTTTCTTCATTTCACTCATTCCTAAAAAAAGTAAAGTAAAGAGTAAAGTTAAGTGCTGAGATAAAACTGTCTGAACTGCTGTTGAAGCTTTCACAAAAAAATACAGTTTAAATTTGATGGAAAAACATAAACAATTAGGCTGTTAGAACTGACCTCATTTTTTCAAATTATTTATTTGTATTAACCAAACAAACATCTTTATATGTAACTACAGATGCTGAGAAACTACAAAATTTCAACCATAACAGAAGATTCTACAAAGATTAATATGAAATTTATGATTTATACTCCAAGATTACTGCATTATTATTAAATCATAGGATCACAAAGAAATACTTTAAACATTTATAACCAATATTGCTACTTTAAGGAAGATGGAATATTAATATCTATCTAAAACATTGGAATATATATGAGGCAAAAAAAGATACTTTTATTTTCTCTAACATACATGGTTTAAAAGTTTGATAATTTTCTGTTTGGAAATACATACTTGAGCTTTTGTCATTCAAATTAATCATTAAATTATCATCTACAATATCAATATAATAATGTTAATTAATTTTCTATATAAACATGCAATATATAACTTAGTAATTACAGAAAAATTATAACCACAATTGTTTTACAAGTGAAAATAATTCCTCAACCCTTCTGTAAAATCCTTTTCATGAATTTTCATTTAAAGAAATATATTTACCTGTAAAAATGTGTGACCACATCTTTTCCACTTTAACAGCATGCTCATAAAGCTTTTTATAATTCTTGCGGCTAGATCTAGCTAATTTCAATCTCAAATCTTTCACCATTTGTTTGTTTTCTGTCTTTAAAAAGATTACAATAGGGTAGAACTGGGCATAATTCAGCCGATCAACAGCATTTGGAGTGATGTCCAAAACAGCATGCTTTCCCTTTAAGATATATGTATTATTAATGGGCAAATAACTTTCATCATTACATCAAAAACTCAGTCTTAAAAATAATAAGTCATAGACACTATGAATAAAATTTATAATTTTATTTTTGCACATCCTCACCTAATTAGCTTTTACACCTTAATGTGTTCTGCATTAATGTTAATTATTTCAGATGCCCCCCCAATTCTAGTATCGCTTTAATAAGTAAAAATGAATCTTTTTTTCTATATAATTTATGAGTCACCAAAATGTACCCAAAACATCAAGATTTATTAAAAAAAAGGTATATTGTTCCTAACAACAAAAAAGGGGCAACCAAGACATATATAAACTTACTTTATCAACAACATTCTTTATATCACTGAGACGGACAATCCTTGATGATCTTTCACCTTTAAGTGTTTCTTCCAACTCATTATCAAGTTCTGTAAATTAATGTTTGATCCATACAAATTAGTGTATTTAAAATGCATATAAGTCACTAATAAAAATCAACTTCATTTTTTCTTGACATAATTTATTTGAAAAACAATCTTTTAAAAAATTATTAATGTTATTTAAGTAATAAATAAGAATTGTTTGTTTGTTTTGAATTTTGTGCAAAGCTACACGAGGGCTATCTGCACTAGCCATCCCTAATTTAGCAGTAAAAGACTAGAGGAAAGGCAGGTAGTCATCACTACCCACTGCCAACTCTTGGGCTACTCTTTAATCAACGAATATTGACCATCACATTATAATGCCCCCATAGCTGAAAGGGCGACATGTTTGGTGGGATGGGGATTCAAACCTGCAACCCACAGATTGCGAGTCAAGTGCCCTAACCACCTGGCCATGCTGGGCCTAACAAATAAACTTCTAATTGAATGATTTTTAGTAGTACATTGACAATCATGCCAATATAAACTATTTAGTGTGAAATAGAAAATCTTTAAACATTAAAATAATATTATGATTAAATTTCTACTAGAAAAAAACTATGATTAAGTTTCAAACTATTATACTTAAAACAAACAGACAACTCGTATATTAGATGGACTAAGTAAGAACTGTCTTCAGGGATTAACACCTGATACTGTGCATACTGCGTATTCCTGATGTATTAGAGTTTTAGTTAGTTTCACATAATCATCATGTTTGAAAACAATAAACTCTGATGGCTACTTACGTGGGGATCCAAATTTATCACTGTGATTTTTAAGTAGCATTGTTCGTGCTACATCAGCAAGAGCTCCAAACAGTACAATAGGTCGAATGAATCCAGCTATAGTAAAATTTTAATTTTTAAATGCTATTGCATACATAAATTAATAAAATAACTTCAGTTTTATTTTTTGTTTACATAACAAGTATTGAATAAAATTAAAATAATTAGATCTTTCCATTTAAGCATGATATCAAAATATTGGAAGTAATATTAAAGGGGTGTTATACATCTACTCTGAATAAAAGAATCAGAAGTAGATCTAAATTTTATGTTAAATAGCAATTTACTAATGTTTGAGAAATAACATTAGATAAGCAACAAAATACAGTTTTGGATAGCTTTAGCAAAAGTCTTAAAAACAAGTTCAAATTATTTTTCTTAAGTTTTAACAGCCAGTTTGCAAAAAAAAAAAGACACTCATATCTGTCTGACTTTGATAATGTGAATAATTGTATTTTATGTTTTTTACAAACTGAGAAAAAAGATACTATACTATATGCGTTCTGAGTGTTGTTGTTTGTTCAATTTCATACAAAGCTACTCAAAGGCTATCTGTACTGATCTTCCTAATTTAGATATGATAGACTAGAGGGAAGGCAGTGATTTCTGAGATAAAAAGCTATATATTTCAACTGTTTCCTAAGCAGAAGAAGCAGTAGCAAATGTATTTGACTGGCTGTCAAGATAACAGGGCAAAAATGTTATGAACAGTGCAGGTAAGATGAAAAAGTTTTTGTCAGTGATAGAGCACATACTGAAATTGGAACCAGTAATATGACAACAAACTTGAAAGTTTGCACTGATAGCACCATGCTGCTAAATTAAACTAGTGCTAGTAATAAAACCGTTGATTTGTCAACACCAAGGGTTAGACGTAGAGGTGTGGTTACAGCATACAAGGATGCTTGCTTTATTTGACCATTTATTAGAGCTGTTGGGAAACTTTGGTATTTAAGAGGAGGCCATGATTTGGTTAAAAGCACACCCACCTAACAATGATAGACCATTCCTAGCAGATCTGGAAGCTGGATCAAATGTCTTATTGCTTCGTATATGACTGGTAAACTTCCTACTGTAGAGGTCTAATACATCTTTTGTTTATTTATTTTATCAGTAATATTTCTCTATTAGGAACCCCCAGCAGCTAATAAAGCCACTCTGCATTTTGATACTAAACACATACTTTTAATTTTTTTCTTAAATTAAAATAAGTATGTACTTTTCAAACTCAAACTAACATATAATGCTTTGTTACATTCAGATATACTCTAAGTTAACATTGTCTTATATCAAAAATGTATTTCCAGTAATACTTACCTCTACTCACACTACAGCTATTACTCGACTGCTAGGGTTTCTTTACCTTTGCCCAACTAAGCATTGGTCTGATTTTTTCTTGATAAGTCCCAGAAAACTGAAAGGTCACAATGAATAAAAAGCCACTGTCTAGCACCTTTAAAAGCTTTAGTGTGGGCAACATTACACTGCATGGCCCTCACCAGACATAACAAACAATTGGGATCTGATCAGTCATGGAGGTGAAATATAGCAGTCAGATGAATTGGTGAAAAGGATTTATCCCCTTCCCTGGATGCAAGTGTCTTAGGTAAGAAGAACCTGTCTGGGTATAGAAGGATGTAGGAAGAATCATAAAACATCCTGTGCATGTGCAGTGCAAACAACACTGACCGGCAGCATCTGCAGGCCAGCAGCAATTAAAAATAAATCATAAGGGAAAGAAGATACATGGTACATGAGGCTAAGGGCTCAAATTGATGTTGAGAACAAGGATGTAACATCACCTTTATATCCCAGTTAGGAAACTGAAATGGTCGTTTGGAATGAAGAACCAGACGTGACTTGAGGAGGCCAGAGAGCACTGGGGACTCAAAGAATTTCTGTCTCTTTGAGAATCTAAAGGTACCCGATAAGGTCACCTTATATAGAGCGATTGTGGAAGATGCAAAACCCTTTACAAAGAGCCAAGTAAATAAACGAGCTATGGTTGGCACATTTTCGGACACCGTGTGGAGGACCAAGTTGAATCAGATGGTCCATGGTGGAGCGCTGTCAATGGAACCCACACTGGGTGAGCAAGAGGAGCGTGTTTGATTTGAGGAACCAAAGAAGATGAGCATTAACCATCCTCTCTAAGACCTTACAAAGACAACTAGTCAAAGTAATGGGACAATAATTAGATGGAATCTTGGGATCCTTCCCAGGTTTAAAGAAAGGGAGGACAATAGCCTGGCGCCAAGCATCAGGAGAACATGCTCCTGCCAGATCCAGTTAAAAATAACCAGAAGGATAGCAAGAGAGGTAGGAGAGAAATGGTGCAGCATCTCATAATGAACATCATCAGGTCTGACCAATGTACTACCAGTCCAATGAAGAGCAAGTTTGAGTTCAACCAGTGTAAAGGGGAGATTATAATCGTAGAGATGATCGGCCCAAAAAGAAAGACTTGATGGCTAAGAAAGTAGGGGTGGAAACAGAAGTGCTAGAAGCACGAGAAAAGCTGTGGCCAAGAGCATCAGCAACTTTCAGGCCATTGGAGAGCAAGATGGAAAGAGGATGGGAAGCTTACCTCCCAGTGACTTTCCGAATCTTATCCCATATAGCTTTGGAACTGGTGGTAGAAGAGATGCTAGTAGTGAATTTAATATCCAAGATTCCTTTTGGCTTTGACGTCAAACCTGCCAAGCATGGGTACAGGCCCGTTGATAAACAATGCAGTTAGAAAGAGAGGGATACCGTCGGAAGGTATCCCAGGCCCGTTTTTTGAGCCTTCCATGCCTCCTGGCAGGCAGGACTCCACCATGAACGAGGATACCATGGAAAACGTGTCGGGGTCTTAGGAATAAAGTGAGCAGCTGCCTGGATGATATAGTCAGTCACTGCAACCACACAGTCATCTATTGATGGCAGACAGACAAAGGCAGGATCAAGTTTGGAGAGAGAGGTGAAAGATGGCCAGTCAGCCTGGTCCAACTTCCACTGTGGCACTCTGGTCGGGTGGCATCGACCATGGCCAACCTCCCTTATCATGATAGAAAAATGATCACTGCCCTGTGGGTCACTGTCGACCATCCAAGAAAAGCAAGTGAAAAGTGAAGGGGGAGCAAAT